TAATCGTATACTTTAGGGCGTATCTTAATAAAAATCGCTTCTATTTTGTATACTAAGATATGTTACGCCCTACTTTAGGGGGTATATTAATTTATATCACGCCTACTTTAGAGATAATCCTAACTTGATAACGCCTATTTTAGGGGGTGTTTTTGAATATAAGCTACGCCTATTTTTAGGCGTATAATTAGGTAACGCCTACTTTAGAAAGTGTATTAATTTATGTCCCACCTAGTTTTAAATAATTCTAAATTTGTAAACGTATACTATAGGGGGTATCTTAATAAAAATCGCTTCTATTTTAAGGCGTATACTAAGATATGTTACGTTCTACTTTAGGGCGTATATTAATTTATATCACGCCTACTTTAAGACAATTCTATTTTGGTAATGTCTAACTTTTGGGCGTGACTTAATATAGGTTACTTATAAATTTTATAGCATGTACTAATTTAGGTAACGCCTACTTTAGGGCGTATGTTAATATAAGTCACGCCTATTTTAATGTGTATATTAATATAACCACGCCTATTTTAATGTGTATATTAATATAACCACGCCTATTTTATTAGGTATATTAAGTTGGGTAACACCTACTTTAAATCAATTCTAATTTAGATAACGCCTTCGTTAAGGTATATCTTAATAAAAATGTAATATTATAATGTGTATTTTAGTAATAAATAGTGAATTCGTCTTTACATGGAATTTTCTTATATATATATATATAATAAATAGTTTCGGACAATGTTTAATATTCCAATGAATATTTTCCATTGAAATTTGATTTCGTTCTTTGAAGGAATTTTCTTATATATTTACATATGATAAATAGTTTTGGAAAAGTATATTTAATATTCCAATGAACGATAATTAGGTAACATATGAAATGGTAATTCATATCTGTCTCTCTCTCTCTTTCGATTAATTCGAGGCTAGTTGCACACACACATTGGTTAATGCGTAGACGGTAAGCGGCAACGGTTTGAGACTCTGAAGTGAGTAATATTGATCGCCGTGGGCTTACATCGGCGAGAGAGAGATAGAGAGGGGGGGGGGTGAGGCAGGGGATGGAAGAGAAGCAGAGGGTGGCGACTAGGCTTAGGTTGGAAGAGGGTGAAGGGAGTAAAATGGTAAGGGTGGTCGAGGGGGAAGGGTGGTTTTGGCACGAGGGTGCAGTGACGTACTGCCCGCGGCCAAAGTGAGAGAGAGAGAGAGAGAGAGAGAGAGAGAAAGCCGTCGTCAGCCCTTCGTCGACTCGATTCTACCTTGTCATTTTTACAGGGTCTCTGATCTCTCTCTTTCTTTCTCTCTCTAACGGTTTGTACCGTATACGCGCCAACAGGAAGACTATACTCCACTCTCGCGTCCGCTATATAGGGTTCACCGATCCTTCACTCTTCCCTTTACTCTATATTTCCCTTCTATTATTATTATTTTTTTTTATGTTCAGAATACATTTTTATATATAAAAAATTTAATTCTAGGCGCCAAAGTTCTAAAAGAATTAATCTTTGATAAAGTAGGAACATATAATATTATAACAAGACATTTATTTTTTATCTGAATTTTAATAATTTATTATTTTTATTTCAATTAACAAAAAAAAACTTTCTCGTAAAATTCAAAAAAAAATTCCCTTCCATTTTCAAAGTTATATTTTTAATTCTATTTTAAATAGATAGAATAGATTAAAATAGATAGAAATTATATTGAGAAACGCCCTAAGGTAGGCGTTACCTAATATAGTATACGCCTCAAAATAGGCGTAGCTTATATTAAGACATCCTCTAAAGTAGGCGTTACCAAGTTAGAATTGCCTCTAAAGTAGGCGTGGTTTAAATTAAAATACGCCCCAAAGTAGGCGTTACCTAATTTTATTTACATCTTCATAATAGGTGTGGCTAATGTTAAAACACGCCTTAAAGTAGGCGTTACCAAACTGAGGGTGTCCTTAAAATAGGTGGGGCTTATATTAAGACGTACCCCAAAGTAGACGTTACCTAAGTATAAATCTTACTAATGGGCGTGGTTACAAAATAAAACACGCCTTAAAGTAGGCGTGACAAAATTAGATGTATCCTTAAAATAGGTGGGGCTTATTGAAAAAAACACGCCCTAAAGTTGACATTAACTAACTTAGTATACATATTAATAATGGGCGTGGCTAATACTAAGACACGCCCGAAAGTTGGTGTTGTTAAATTAGTATATCTTTAAAATAGGTGGAGGCTTATTTTAAGACACGCCTTAAAGTAGGCATAACCAAAATAAATACACTTCTTTAAATAGGTGGTACTTATATTAAGTCACCACCTTAAAGTAGGCGTTACTAAAGTAGGACGTCCTTAAAATTAGGTAGGACTTATAAAAAAGGCAACGCCCTACAGTAGGCGTTACCTTAGTTAGCAACGCTTTAAATAAAATTTATTCGTATTCAAAACAAATAAATTCAGAAAATAAAAAAACTTACATTTCTTAGAAAAAATTTTCTCAACTTTATTTAAAGACTTTTTTTTAAATACTATCTTGAAGTTGAAATACAAAATAAAACTACATTTTACTAGCAAAAAAAAAACAGTTTTTAAAAAAATCTCATTTTTTTTTGGTAATTGTACCTATATTTTTCTTTAAAAAAAAAAATGACCGGTAAAAGAGTATAGTATTTTTTTTTTTTTTTTGCAACCTTCTTCCTGCAACTGCATGTAGAGTAATCCCAGGGTCGATTCGAAAATTTCATTTCTCTCTGGCATGGAACACTTTTTTTTCTGTTTTTGTTTTTTTTCCTTTTCTTTTTTTTGGAATTACTGTATATACAGGGTCCGAGAGAGATTTCCTCTATCTCGATATATATATACACACAAACACCGGAAGTATAAAAGCTCGTAGCGTGGTCTCTCTAGGGGATTTTCCAGCAGAGAGTATTCGATTGGGATCGAACTCAGGGAGTAGAGGGATTTTTTTTCTCTTGCACCAAGAGGTAATCCTCGATGGTACGATACGCCCTTGGATTCTATATATATATATATATATATATATATATATATTTATTTATGGATAACTTTGTCTAAAGATGAAACTTTCGTCTCTTGACTTTGTGATTCCCTACTGATTGTAAAACTAAATTTTAATTCTTTTTTTTTGCTAATCACGTTATACATTTCTTTATCAAATCAATTTGATTGGAAACAAATTGATTAGGATTAAAAACGAATTTTTTTTATTGTCTTAGAGAAGGCGGGATTTTAATTAGAAAACTCCCTAAAGTAGGCGTTACTAAATTATTATTGCCATTAAAATAGGCGGGGCTTATATTATGTCACACCCAAAAAGTAGGCGTTATCAAATTTAGATTGCTTTAAAGTAGGAGTGGTATAAATTATTATATGCCTTAAAGTAGGCGTTATCTAATTTAGTATACGCCTTAAAGTAGGCGTTACTTATATTAAACCACAACCAAAAGTAGGCGTTACCTAGTTTGGATTGCCTTGAAGTAGGCGTGGTATAAATTAAAACATGCCTAAAAGTAGGCGGGACTAAATTTGAATTGCCATATAGTAGGCGTTATCTAATTTAGTCTACACTTCAAAATAGGCGTTACTTATGTTAAGCCACGCCCAAAAGTAGGCGTTCTTATATTAAGTCACTCCCAAAAGTAGGTGTTACTTAAATTAAATCACGCCCAAAAGTAGGCGTTACTAAATTAGGATTGCCTGAAAGTAGGCGTTGTATAAATTAATACACGCCCTAAAGTAGGCGTTACCAAATTATTTGATTGAAAACAAATTTTGTTTTGGATTAAAAAAAAAGTGATTTGGATTAAAAAGGAATTTTTTTTTTTGGATTCAGAAAAAAAATAGATTTGGATTCAAAGCGAATTTATTATTTGTATTAAAATCTTTGACGAAAAATGAATCTTTCGTCTTTTGACGTTGTGAATTTTCTCGATGAAAAAAAAAAAAATCCCCTGCCTCCATCTTCGTTTTCGATGCACCAGACTGAAGTTAATCGTCGTATATAGTATATATACAGCCCCCCCCCCCCTCTCTCTCTCTCTCTCTCTCTCTCTCTCTCTCGGACGATTCTCCATTATCTTCGGATGAAGCACAAGCACGGATCAATCGTCTGCCAATCGATTGGATAATTCGTTTTCACAAATTCTATCAAGGCAACTTTAAAATGATGAAAAATAGCTATCATTCTCTTCATTTCTCTTTTTATCTCTCTCTCAAAAAAAAGGATTAAAAATACATTACAATTTAAGAAAGTTTTCCATCAAATTTATATAATTGATATTTATTTTTTAATTTTAGAAAATTATTTTTTTTTCTCTCTTAATTTAAAGAAAAACAAATAATTACTTTGAAAAAAATAATAATAAAAAAGTAAAGGACATATTATAATGTTATAATGAATATATAATATTATAAAATATAATTAGAATACAATAAATATAATAAAAATATAAATAAATGTGTATGAAATCTAAAAATAAACTTTTTATGAGAATAAATTCTAAACCAATAATAATAATAATAATAATAATAATAATAATAATAATAATAATAATAATCGAAAAGAAAAAAAGCAAATGTTAATAAATAGAAAAACAAAAAAAAAAAGAAAAGAAAATTCAGTGTGAAAAATTGTAGTTATGCTAAAATGTGAATTTTCCCCAATGAATTTTATCCATAGAAAAAATTCAATTCAAATCGTCTGCGAATCATTAGGTTTTCAAAGCGAGATTCTAGGGTAAATAGAATTTGTTTCATGGTTGAGTGAGCTTTCTAAAATTAAATCTCTCATCTTATAAAAAAAAAAAAATATTATTAAAGTAAATTAACTCCTAAAAAGGAGTAATCACGAGCAAAAAATGATAGTTTTACACTATTTTTTAGTAGTAGTAATAATAAAATAATAATACAAATAGTAATAATAATATAAAAATAATAATAATAATAATAATAATAATAATAATATAATTTTTTTCTCTGTTTCAGATCAAATGAACGACGTTTGCAAAAATCATTTTCTAAGGGATCTTTACAGAAAAATAGATGGCGCCGTACTAACATCGCAAAACGAAAGAAATCTCGATTGTGCCATAACGTTCCAAACTCACAGTATCCTACAAAGATTTATGCTCAGGTTCGATCGTCTTCAACTCGACTGCAACGACCATCTTTATATTTATGATGGTGCTCATGCAGTTGGAAACTTCAAGGTAAAATTATTTATATTACTTTTTCATATATATAATATATATATATTTTTTATATTTCCATATCGACAAAAAGATAACAAAAAAAAAAGAAAATCCTTTCGAAATTTATTTTTCAAAATTTAATTTTTTAATTTTCTATTCCCTCTTTGTTCATTATTATTATTATTATTATTACTTTTTCTACACTCTACTCGCAATTGTCCACGAGGGAGAAAAGAAACCCTCTCTCTCTCTCTCTCTCTCTCTCTCTCTCTCTCTCTCTCTCTCTCTCTCTCTCTCTCTCTCTCTCTCTCTCTCTCTCTCTCTCTCTCTCTCTCTCTCTCTCTCTCTCTCTCTCTCTCTCTCTCTCTCTCTCTCCTCTCTCTCTCTCTCTCTCTCTCTCTCTCTCTCTCTCTCTCTCTCTCTCTCTCTCTCTCTCTCTCTCTCTCTCTCTCTCTCTCTCTCTCTCTCTCTCTCATAACATTAGAAGAATCAGTATGCTCAAAACGGTGCTTTAATCCGAATTTCTTATCTCAAAGAAATTCTCTTTTGAGCTTCTATATTCAAGAATGTTTGCTCTGGGCGAAGAGAGAGAGAGAGAGAGAGAGAACTTGCCCATAAAGCTGTAGCGGGCGATGTTAATCTAGCCTCCAAGGCACAGTCTTAGTTTAACCAACCTCTGCCCCTTTCCGGTTACAAAAAAGCCCAAATTTATGATACCTATTTTTACAAAAAAAGAAAAATTTTTTTTCTTCTTAACAAACATCTGTGTGCACCAACCTATCATAAACAAAATCAAATTAAACTAAAGCCTTATCTCCGGTTTACAAAAATTTAAATTGCATATACTTAAATAAAAATTAAAACAATTTTTAATATCTTACTTTTAGTATCAATTTTCGGCCACTGTTCTTTGAAAAATGGCGGAGCATATAGTAAACCACGCCTTAAAGTAGGCGTTATTTTCTTTAAGTATACATTTTAAATTAGGCATGGCTTATTTTAAAATACGCCCTAAAGTAGGCGTATACTAATTTAAGTGACGCCTACTTTGGGGCGTGTGGTAATTTGTACCACCGACTTAAATAGGCGTTACCTAAATTAGTATACGCCCTCAAGTAGACGTTACTTTATTTTCCATACACTTTTAAGTAGGCGGGGCATACACGCCTCAAAGTAGGCGTCACTTTTTATTGATATACGCCCTTAAGTAAGCGTTACCTATCTTAGCATGACCCTTTAAATAGGCGTGGCTTATATTAAAACACGCCCAAAAAGTTGATGTTTCAAAATTATAATTATCTTAAACTAGGTGTGTCATAAATCAATATACACCCTAAAATAGGCGTGGCATAAATTAATATACACTCTAAAGTAGGCGTGGCATAAAGTAATATACGCCCTAAAGTAGGGGTTTCCAATTATATGTAAACGTTCTAAAGTAGGCGTTTCCAATTATAGTATAAGCCATAAGAAGGCGGAGCTAATATTAATACAAGACTTAAAGTAGGCGGAGCTAATATTAAGACATGTCCTAACATAGGCGTTACTTCAATTCTTATGCCCCTTAAAGAAGACGTTACTTAGTACATACGTTAATGTAGACGGAGCATAAATTAATACACGCCTTAAAGTAGGCGAGACATATAATAAAACATGACTTAATGTAGGCGTTACTCGACTTATAAGTCTTAAAGTAGGCGGTTGCTATTTTTAAGACACGCCTTCAAGTAGGCGTGAGCTAAACAAAAATTGGAGTAAATTAGTCAGAATTTATATTAATGCTTATTGTAGGCGTTACCTACTGTCGAATATGCCTTTTTAAAAAAGGCGGAGTTAATTCTAAGCCACGCCCTAAATTAGATGTTACTCTTAAAGGGTCGGGGCCTATTATGACACGCCCTAAAGTAGGCGTTACTAAATGTAGTATATGCCTTAAAAAGGCGTAACTAGTACTAATTCATGCCCTTAATGTAGGCATTACTTAAAATTAAAACTAATTTTAGCAGAATACATCCAAAAAAGTGATTTTTTTTAAAACGTATTCTTTTTCTTCTTGACAAATAAAATTGTGAATTAATTGAATTCGTGCAAGTGGAATATGAAAAATTATTTTTTGCAAAAAAAAAAAAAAAATAAGGAAACAAAATGTAATAACGATAGTGACTTGAATTTTAAAATGGGCATTGTGTGAATTTTAAGAATTCTACTCAGTGTTACGATGAATGGTGGGTGGCGTAATGATTGGAGGTGGAAGACACAGTAAAGAAGGTTAAAAGAGAGAGAGAGAGACAGAGAGAGAGAGAGGGGGGGGTGAAGGGATGCTGGAAACTTGCTCCATTAATCATGATTCTTTTTTTTTAGACTTCAATTCCACTTTTCTCTTTCGAATCTTTTTTCTTCTCTCTCTCTCTATCTCTCGAAGGGATAGAAGAATTTTTTTTTTTTGCTCTCTTCCTCGTTATACTAATTCTAAAAAGCATCATATGAATTTGAATTATGGTTTGGACAAAAAAATAAAAAAATTGAAGAATAGTTTTTTAATAGAGTTAAAATTACAAATAAGCGTGAAAAAAAATCCCCCCCCCCCCTTACAATTCAAACTTTTATTATAGTTTAACGAATATGATATTAAGGTATATAAATGAATACGCAAGATGTGTGGTTATAGTAAAAAAAAAGGAAAATTGTTCGCATAGCTGTAAATTACAATATCGAACAAAAAAAAAAAAAAACAATTTTTTTTTCTTTATTCTCGGAACAAACTTTAGGCCATTTAAAGGTCAATATTTTCTCGTTCAATATATTCTCATTAAATTTATCCTCTTTAGGGTGTGTAGCCAACGCTTGGAAGAGCTGTGTATACCATGTACACAGTAGTGTAAAAATGAATTCGCAATCCAGACTAGTATAGAGAATCATGTCTAGGTGTTTTTTTTTTTTTTTTTAAGAGAGGTGTAAGTTTTGCACATATAGATAGATTATTAACAAATATATAGAGTTACGTTAACTTATCTCCCCCTCCTTTCATTTTCCTCCCTTCATTTCTCCTGGCATTACGAACATAAAGCCAAGAGAGGAGTAATGTAATTTTGCATAATGGTGGGATAACTTTACTCTTTTTTATGAGCTGCTTAATGGCCCATTAAGCACGTCTTTATTACACTTTTTTTAAACTGAGTACCTTCTCCCAAAAAATAGCCACGTCACTTACATTACATACGGCAACACTTTTATTTTTACTTTCCATCTGAATTATAGAATTTTTCATTTCCTTGATAATTACATATTAAGACATGTCTTTAAGTAGAAATTATTATATTTAGTATAGATAATAAGATACGCGGAACATTAATTAATATACTCCTTATAGTAGGCGTGGTTATAATTAGGATACGCCTTTAAGTAGGCGGGGAAATAATTAGGACACGTCTTAAAGTAGGCGTTACTTACTTTGATATAAACATTAAAGTAGGCAGGGCTTTAATTTAATTACGCCTTAAAGTAGGCGATATTCAATTTAGTATACTCCTTAAAGTAGGCGTGATTATAATTAATATACACCTTTAAGTAGGCGGGGCAATAATTAGGACACGCCTTGAAGTAGGCGTTACTTACTTTAATATAAACCTTAAAGTAGGCGGGATTTTAATTTACATACGCCTTAAAGTAGGTGGTATTTAACTTAGTATAGCCCTTAAAGTAGGCGGGGCAATAATTAGGACACACCTTGAAGTAGGCGTTACTTAATTTAGTATAGGTCTCAAAGTGGGCGGGGCATAAAGTAATATACGCATTAAAGTAGGCGGGGTAATAATTAAGATACGCCTTAAAGTAGGCGTTACTTAGTATAAACCTTAAAGTAGGCTGGGTTATAATTTACATACGCCTTAAAGTAGACGTTACCTAATTTAGCTTTGAAGTAGGCGGGGCAATAATTAAGACACGGTTTAAAGTAGGCGTTATCTAGTATGAACCCTAAAGTGGGCGGAGTAATTAGTAAGAAACTCCCCCTATAGTGGGCGTTAGATAACTTAATATAAATCTAAAAGTAGAAGGGGTAATAATTTAGACACACCTTAAAGTTAACGTTAATTAAGTTAATAATACTGTGTCTTAAAATAGGCGTGACTTATATTGTGCTACGTTTTAAAATAGGCGTGACGTTATCTAGTTCACGCCTTAAAAAAGAGTGGCTTGTATTAAGATACGCTTTAAAGAGGGCGTTACCTAATTTAGAACAGATTTTAAAATAGGCGTGACTTTAAGTAAGACACGCTTTAAAGTAGGCGGAGTAATTATTAAGATACGCTTTAAAGTAGGCGGAGTAATGATTAAGTTACGCCTTAAAGTAGGCGGAGTAATTATTAAGATACGCCTTAAAGTAGGCGGAGTAATTATTAAGATACGCCTTAAAGTAGGCGGAGTAATTTTTAAAATACGCCTTCTAGTAGGCGTTACTTAATTTAGAATGGGTTTTAAAATAGTCATAAATTAATACACGCCCTAAAGTAGGCGTTACTTAGCTTAATTTAAGTTTTAAAGTAGGTGGGGCGTATATTAGGACACGCCCTAAAGTAGGCGTTATTTAATTAAGTTTAGAATTTAATTTAGTTTGTCTTCTTTATTAACTTGTTAATGGAGATAAATATATTTTTTTTCTGTTTTTTCATTGTTAATTCGAAATATGAGTAATTTGTTCATTTAATTTTCTGATGAGTTTTTATAGATTAAAAGTTCAGTCTTAATAACTTTTTTTTTTAAAAAAAAGTTTATCAGATGCCGTGACATAAAAAATTCCCTCTCTTTTTTTTTTGTTTGTGGAGAATTGTTCATAATATAGAATAAAGTTGATATCAAAATTGCAAAGTAAACGTTCTCCAATGGTAATTATCATGATAATTAAGTCATTTGTAAAGGGGAACATTTCCATCTAGATGCAGTTGGGAAATTAATCATAGATATCAGTTTCACGAGTAAGAGAGAGAGAGAGAGAGAAAGAAGGGTTGGGGAGGGGGTAA